GACATCAGCAGTATGTCTGGATTCTTCTGGTTTGTGCATCGCTCCCTTGTGGACCAGATAAATGGCCAATCCAAACCAGAAATTGTTCTGTGTATCAGGAACGGAACTTCTTCAGCAGTGGCAGAAGTAGGACCAGGGAGAGGCAGGCAACTGGGTCTAGGGGTTTTCAACCAATCCTTCCCAGGTTTTTATTGTACTGAAACTTTGGCAGCTGATCAATTAAAAACAGGAAGTTAACTTTAGAAGAATAGGTAAATGCTGTGTGTGTGTGCATATATGTACATGTATATGTGTGTATACATATACATTACATATGTGTATATGTATACATATACATTGTGTGTTTATATATGTATACATACACATACACATTATATATACATACATCATACACATACACACACACATATATCAGTGGATTGTGAATGTCTGCTGCTTCCAGGTAGTCTGTAATTTTATATAACAGTGTATTGCATTCCTTAAGGTAAGAAAATGAAGGGTCCTGAAAGTAAGCTTCAATACCAACTAAGATAGCCTTATTGAGATTTTCCAAAGTTGCTTCCAGATATTTGGAATTAAACCTACAGGAATAATTTAGCTTATTGGCAATCTGTTGCCTCAAAACCTGCATCTGTCCAACCTTCATGATAGCCCCAAGATATGGTGTACAAATCTTCTGAGTTTTGGCAGTGGCAGGAGAATGAGTGTTATTCGAATTTCCTACAATGTCTTTCAGAGGTTGATGACATTAATAAGGGCTTTAAAGGTAGTACTGATTGGCAAAGAAAGGCACAATAAGAGAGAAGGAACTAGGGGAAACATACTGTCAGAAACTAAAAGATCAAACTGGCTAGGACTTTGAGCTAAATGAAAAAGAATTTTATTAATTTATATTTTATAACTTTTTGAAATAGGGTAAAAGTATGAACCTGGTTTTTCAACTTAAACAAAATCATGAGTCATTTTAAAAAAGTTTTTAAGCGTTAGAAGGAAAATAGTGGTAATTTTTGCCACCCCTCCATTGGCCTTCTTTGCACATGCTGATGTGCCCCCTTCCTACACACACACACACACACACACACACACACACACACACACACACACAGCCTTACTTCCTGAGTGCATCAGATGATGACTAGAGAGAAAGTCATACCCAGGAAGAGAAAAGTAATAACTAGAGAAAAATGGCTCTTTCCATAAAGAGGTAGGAGCCATCCAAGAGAGAGTAGATTAGCTGTCCTCTTTAGCTAAATACTGTAGCAATACTACCATCAATAGATACAAGAATCACTGGGGAATTAGAGTAGGAGTTGCAATCCCTTTCATGCTATTCTAGAGCATTAGGATAAGACCGAGTATAAACAAACTTTGAATGAACTCAATTAATCCACAAGCATTCATTAAACATTTACTTTGTGCTAGACACTAGGCCAAACTCTGGGAGTTACAAAAAAAATATAAATAGTTCTTGTCAGAGACTGTCTCCCTACAAGAAAAGGTCCTGCCACAGAAAATGGCATTTGAGCTAAATCTTAAAGAAAGCCCAAGACTCTTTAACAGGTAGAAGTGAGGAAGAAAAGAATTCCAGGAATGGAAGACAGTCAGTGGAAAGACTTATAAGATGGGAGGCTGTGCATCATGTGGGAGGAATAGCAAAGAGGCCAGTATGAATGGAAGGTTGTGTGCATGAGAATAATGTGTAAGAAGACAAAAAGTACAGAGAAGCCAAGGTGACAAGAGATCTAAACGCCAAACAAAGTTTATATTTCATCCTAAAAGCAATAGGGAACAACTGGAAATTAGCCAGTGAAGTATGGTATGGGATATGACATGGTCAGACATGTGCTTCAGGAAAATTATTTTGGCATATATGTGTATTGGGAATAAACTCAAAGCAGAAGACCACTTAGGAGGCTATTGTAATGAAAGTACCTTAACCAAAATCAGAAGCAGTAAGTCACTGGGAGAAGCCATGAAGTCAGCATCAAAGAAACACAGAATTTCAGAGGGGGCTTCTTCATCTAGGAGCTCCTCACACTAATGACCACAGCTCCCATCCCTATCCCTATCTACAGGCACCTTTCCACTGCCTACAAATGTGTTTGAATAGAGGTCAACCTTTAAAAAGATTTTTTGAAGCACTTTCTTGTGACTTTCAAGTCATCCCATCAAACTATCTCTCCATTTTCACTGCTAAACTCATAGAAAAATAGCCCTTAATTGCTGTTTCTACCTCTTCACTAGACTGACTTTCCAGGCACTTTCAATCTTGATCCATTACATGAAGCAATTAGACCAGATGGCCTCTGAGGGCCCTGCCAAATCAAAATCTAAAATCCTTAATCCATTCCTGTTCACCACAGTAGGTGTAATATAATATAATATAATATGATATAATATAATATAATATAATATAATATAATATAATATAATATAATATAATATAATATAATATAATATAATATAATATAATATAATATAATATAATATAATATAATATAATGTAAGCTCCTCAAGGGCAGGCACCCTTTTACTTTGGTTTTGTTATCTCCAGCACCCAACATAGTCCTGGCATGTAGAGGCAGTAAAAGTCCTTGTTGATTGATTGCTTGACTTTGATTATTCAATGATCCTTGTATCACTCATGCTAACCATTCTTGAAAGTCCATTACACCCCCTTTGAGTCCTGTGTGGCAATCACCACCAGCACACTTAGGATTTATCGTCTTCTTGTCCTCAATACTTTTTTCCTTCTTTCTTTTCTTCCTTCTTTCCTTCCTTTCCACCTCTTTCCATTCCTCCCTCTGTTCCTTCCTTCATTTATCTATTTATCTGCCCCTCTCTCTAACCCCCATTAAGTAATTTTTTAAAAACCCTAAAAAAACAAAGCCTTGAGAACAGGTACTATTTTTTTTAACATTCTTTGTGTCCTCAACACTCATCACAATGCCTGGCACATAGTATGCATTTAATAAATGCTAGTTGATTCCCATACCATTCATATACCACAGTTTATTTAGTCATTTCCGATAGGAAGATAGCCCCTTAGTTTTCAGTTCTTTGCTACCATGAAAAGAGGTGCTGTCAATAGTTTTGTACATATGGGTTCTTTTCTTCTTTCTCTGATTTCTTTAGGGCATTATAGTGGTATAGCTGGGTCAAAAGCTACACATATTTTAGTGACTTTTTGCCCATAGTTTCAAGTTGCTTTCCAGAATGACCCAACCAACTCAGCTTTACCAACAATTCACTAGTGTACCTCTTCATTTCCTACCAACTCACACTGCTTGGGCTGGACTCTACCACGCCTCTCAAAAAACTCCTCATCAGGAAATTCATCATCATGTAGATTTCATCAGCTTTAATATTCACTCTTCATCAGTACCTTAAATACTTTCTGGCCCTCTGAGTAGAGGGCTGGAGAGCAAAGACTCCTTCCAAAACCTCTATCTAAAGGGGTCTCCCAGACCAGTCATCCTTTCGGATCCTACAAATTGCACTCCTTGTAGTGGAGTCCTGATTTAGTCTTTTTTTTTTTTAGGCAATTGAGGTTACACAGGGTCACACAGGGTCACACATCTAGTGTCAACTATTCTGATCTAGTCTTGATTTATACTTGCCCTGCACCCTCCTTCCCACTTTTCAGCTTCCTTCTTTTGAGTGTTGTCTTCCTCCACAAGATTATAACCTCTTTGAAAACAGGGACTATTTTTCTTTTTTCGTATTTGTATCCCCAATATTTAGCACATTGCCTACATTTGTTGTCAGGTTATGTCCAACTTTTCATGACCCTGTGGACCATAGCACACCACGCCCTTCTGACCTAAAGGGCTCATCTTCTGATACCGTGTCTATCGGCATTTAATGCTGTACATGGAGTTTTCTTGATAAAGACACTGTCGTAGTTTGCCATTTCCTTCTCCAGTTTTTTTTGGTTTTGTTTTCGTTTTTTTTTTTTTAATGAAGTAAGAGGTGGCTTGCCCAGGGTCACACAGTTAATAAGTATCTGAGGTCAGATTTGAACTCTGGTCCTTCTGACTCTAGGCCCAGTGCACTATCTGTTTTGACACCTAATGCCTGCCTAGCACATAGATAAACACTGAAAAACGTTTATCAGCTGACTGTTTTCCCACAGCTCCTCCAAGTTCCTCTTTTACTGTCTTTGACAATTTGAAAGGTATGAGGTGAAACCTCAAAGTTGCTCTAATTTTCCTTTTTCTAATTATTTGTGACTAAGAGTATTTTTTTTCACACAATTGTTGATCGCTTAAATTTCCTTCTTTGAAAACTGCTTGACCATTTATCTATTAGAGAATGGATCTAAGTCTTAAACATTTGAATCACTTTCTTATTTTTCTTGCAAATGAAACCTTCATCAGAGTTACTTGCTTCCCTTCTAATTTTAGTGGCATTGGCTTTGTGTAAGTGCTTTTCATTTTCTTTAGAGAGTCAGCCAGCTGATGCAGTAAATAAAGCACTATATTTGGGGTCAGGAAGTCTCAAGCTCAATCTAGCCTCAAACACTGACTAGTTGCATAAGCCGAAGCGAGTCATTTGCTCTTTCTGTGCCTCATTTTCCTCAACTGTAAAACAGGGTCAAATAACAGCATCTCCCTTCCAAGATTGTTGTGAGGATAAAATGGGATATTTGTAAAGCACTTTGCTCAACGTAATATACAATAAATTCTAGCTATAAATTAATAGCTCTTCTTTTTTTAAAGGTTTGTTCACGAACTCTTCCGCTAGCCCTAGATGGGACAGGTTTGACATCTTGGTTAAATATCCCTTGTTTTCTCCTTCACTGAGAGCTGGGACACGGTCCCTGCACATGCAGACAGGCTCCACCAGAGAGTGCTGTAGGCCCCTCTGGACTCCCGGCCCCTCGGGCAGGCGCGTACCGCAGCGTGGTGACGTCATTCCGCCGGCAACCGCGGTCGGCCGCGCAGGAGGCGCAGGCGCGTGGTGGTGGGCGCGCAGGCGCAGTGCGGCAGGGCCGACGCCGGAGGCGCGGAAGGCTGGGTGGGCTCGGGTCCCAGAGCTGAGGTGGCGGCTCGGGGCGGGCTGCGGGCGGCGGCGCTGGGCCTCATGAGCCGCCGACAGCAGGCGCGGGGCGGCTGGGGGGGCCCCAGCGCCGCGGGAAGGGGCGGCGGCGGCGGCCGGGGAAAGGGCGTGAACCATCTCCCGGACAGGTGAGAGCCGGAGCGGGACAAGGCCTGAAGCCTTGCAGGGCTGCCCGGACGAGGCGCCTCAGACCGCGGGGCGGGGGCGGGGAGGGAGGCGGGGACCGTGCGTGGCGCTTCATTCCGCGAGCTCGGGTGGCCCGAGTCTGGAGTCGGGGCCTAGCGTCCTCCCTCCCTGGGCCTCGGTTTCCCTATTTGTCCAACGAAGGTAGTGGCCCCGAGCGGCCTCCAGGCCCCTGTCCAGCGCCGAGCCGGTGGGGGAGGGACCCTGGAGGGCCTTATTGTTGGGGGGAACCTGCCTCTCCCCCCGCCGCCACTCCAAGTCAGGCTGACCAGGGGCCCAGTGGTCAGCCCCTGCCTCGGCTTCTCCAGCTGGTGAACGGGGGTCCTCGGGTCCCCTCCCCCCGGCACCGCCCCTCGTGTTGAGATGATGCGTCTGCCCTTTCTGGGCGTGGCACCAGAGGGTCTGGGTTCAAATGCCGCCTCCGCCCCCGCTCGGTCACTGAACCGCGCTGGACCTGGCGTGCTTCCTGGACGGGGTTGGCCCAGGTGACCGGGTCCCCTCCGTCTTTCCTTTGTGCGGGGCCGTGGCAGGTAGGTAGGCACCCGAAGTAAGTGCCTAGTGTGGAGTGATTGACTGGCATGAGGCGTGCCTGGTATCATACCGGCCCGGTGTTCTCAGGGGAGGCCGAGACCAGTGGTGTAGCCGGAGAGGCCCTGGATCTGGTGTAAGGTCCGCGTCTCGGCCTCGGGTAAGGCCAGTGGGAGCCTTCAGCAGAGGATGCTGATGATAGCCGCCTTGCTGGCCAGTTCTGAAGATAATTGAGAGCCAGGCTGCCGAGCTGGAGCTGTGGATGTAAGCTGCTGTTGTTCCTCAGGGAAAGTCCTGCCGGGATGATGCCAGAGCGGTGCCTGGGGTTCTGGAAGGCTCTTCATCCCCCGCCGGATGAGTGTAGATTGCGCCGACACCCCGAGCTCTGGGAGAACACGGGCTGTTTGCTTCTTCTGTTTTCCCGGTGCCTGGCCCATACTGAGCGCTTCATAGGGGCTGGTTTGTAAGAAAATGCTTGATTGATGTCCACCTAGCTGTTGGCACAGGCAGCATGAGCCTCAAAACATCTCTCCAAAGGGTTCTCCATGGGGAGTTTTCCTAAATACATAGATTTAATTTAATCTCAAGGTAATATAGAATCAGAGTAGATAGCATAGCATAGTATCCATCATATATGGAGTAACAGCATAGTATTGAAGGCTGGAGGGAAACGTAAAGATCATCTAGTCTCTCCTCCTGTTCTACAGATATTGAAGCCAGGAAGTTAAAGTCACTGGAGCCAGGTCGGGAACCCGTGGCCCTTGACTTCAGAGCCAGTGCTTTTTAATGTTTGACTATACTGTCTGCCTTATGAGGAATCAGGAATATTTCACTTCCCAGAACACTTGGGGGAAATGGAATCATCTATACATTTTGTAAGGGTTATGTGGAAGCCCTCAAACTAGATGTGTTCTCCCTGGCTCTGGAGAGTGGAGCTAGAACCAGCAAGTGGGAGTTTGTGATGATCCAGAAAGTCTCTGAGCATTGGAAGCAGGCTGGTGCTGCTCCGGACTCTCCCTGTCCTGCATATGCAACCAGGCTTTGATGGCCTCGTCTCCAGCCTTTCCCTCCTTCCCTGCCCATGACACGGGAAATGGGAAACTAACCTTTAGGTCTTAGGTGAGAACCTGTCTCCTCTGAGTGTGGCCGTGTCCTGAAAAGCCTTGGGTCTCTTCACCATGATAGTGGTTTATTCCTTTACCAGTGACTGCTCTCAGAGGTGAAGGATCGCCTGCTGGTTGTGTTGGGGTGGCTCTTCTCATTCAGGCGCAGGCCAGACCAAATGACCCCCAAGGCACCATAAGAAGAAATGGCTTTGGACCAGAGGAAGCCCAAAGGAGGCTTTTGTTTGGTGAAGATTTGGACTAGATGACCACGAAGGTCCCTTCCAGATTCCCTGCTGACTCTGTGAGGAACATAGGATTCCCATCTTTGAAAAACTGAAAAGTTTTTCACAAAAAGATGTCAGACTTAATTCTGTTAAACCTCAAGAGAGAACCAAGAAGTTATAAGGAAACATATTTTGGTCCCTGTTGTTTTGCCTTCCAGCTCCAAGTACAATGAGAACTATCCCAAAGTGGAACAAGCTTATTGGTGTAATAATGAGTTCCCTATCACCAAAGGTATCCAAGAGAAGGTTGAGTGGCTGGTTATCTGCCTGAGATCTTGCTAAAAGGATTCATACTTCAAGTGGGGACTGGCCTGGATTACTGAAAGATCTCTGCCAGCTCTTACTGTAGTCATGTTTAGATTAGTTGTAGTTGAGCACTGGGTGTGGCCATTCCTCTTTGTCGTTGTTCCAACAGCTTTATATAGCTAGCAGAGGGGGACTCAGATTTGGTGTATGTGGCTGTTTGCTCTGGTGAGCGTTGTTCGGTCTCATTTCCATCATATTTTTTTTTCTTTCCAATGAACCTAAAGCACCCAACTAGCATATGTGATATTATTGAATGACACAATGGCCAGAAGCAGGTAAAAGCAGGAAATAAAGTAAAGTATTTGACAGTGTCCAAAGAGCAGGACAGTGAAAAGTGGGCAGTCTATAAAGTAGAGGTCTTCATTTCGGAGCTTTCAGGTTACTTAGAAAGCCTAATAGGTAAATATTTCTCTTCTAGGTGGAAAGACTACCTCCCAGTTGGACAGCGGATGCCTGGGACACGTTTCATTGCTTTTAAAGTTCCTTTAAAAAAGGTTAGTAAAAGCTAATGAGGTTTCTTTTCAGAAATAGACATACAGAACCTAGTGATAAAATGCTGTTTTGATGTAGTAGAGCCATATTCGCAGCAGGGAATTTCTGAAAATTAGGTTATTTTTGCTTGAACTTATTAAGAGGATGGATGGGGACAGAATGTGAGAAGGAAAGTATCTGTGATGTAGAAGATGAGAAAAAACAAGTTTTCTATGCAGATAATAAATTCAGTTCAATATTTGCATTTCCATGGTATTCTCTAGGCCTCCCTGGTGCTATGAGGACCACTGGTGTGTATTTAAGTGAGTAAAGGACACTTGATACAAGTTTAAACACAGCTGTGCCTCTGGTATTTCTACATCTCATCTCAGGAAGTCCCTCTAAATTAAGACTTTCTTTCATTCATGTATTCATATGAATGATCTTACCATCCCAGAACTCACTGTAGCACATTTTCTCATACCCCTTGTGGAGAAGAATCCCTCGGAGGGAAGATTATTACTAATATTTCAGCAATAGCTACTTTGATCTAAACAAGAGTTGTAGCCTTCAGAGTCATTTGTATATGGTCTTGGTTACAAACAGAAAGTTAGTCTCAGAGTAGACCACATATATACAAGTCGGATGTTTTAGTCATTTATTTGAGGGTTTGGCATCAGTACTTAACATTTCTACACTTGGGTGAGGCCTGACTTATTACCCACGCAGCTGGCTTGGTTGGATTCTGGCAGAAAAGGACAACCCCAAGAGTTAACTGTGAGAAGCTTTTATTAGTGGATCATTGACACTTACCAACACTGGCACTTGGTTTGTAGGTTGTAGCGGTCCAAAGGCAAGCAGCGTAGACACCTGTAGGCTAATTCAAGAGACAAGACTTCACACTAGATGTGACAGTAAAGTGAAGAGACTGTGTGTGACTTTTTTTGGAAATTGTTCTCTTTATTTCGTTGTCACCTCCTAAACGTAAAAATAGAGCAAACAGTGCGGTGAACAGCGAGTATCAAATGAGTGATGCAGACAGTGTGGGAGTGGGGAGGAGAGGAGTGGTGCCAGGCTGTGGTGAAGGGCATCACGCTGGGCTGGGAAGAGCTGCCTCTGGCTGAAGCTCTGGCTCCTCATATGCAAAATGGCAACAGTAATCCCTTCCCCCTCTACCTCCTAAGGTTGTGGGTGAGAATCCAGGAGATGCTGGGTGAAAATGCTGGAGTGATATAAGGTGGTCACGCTGTGCTCGTCGTCGTTTTTTATTCTGGTTCTTCTTGACAGAGTTTTGAGGAAAAACTTGCCCCAGAAGAACGATTTTCCCCTTTGGATCTTGTTAACAAAGTACGAGAACAGAACGAAGAGCTTGGATTGATCATCGATTTAACATACACTCAGCGCTATTATAAACCAGAGGTCAGTGGTGGGCCTGGGAAAACAGCAGGAGTCCAGCAGCTGGCTCTCTGCTGCCACTTCCTTGGTAATTGATCCTGGTCCACGGAACTCTCCCTTCCCGGCAGGCCTGGCTAGATGACGTATTCAACAAAGTGGAAATCGGGAAGTGGCCCTCATTTCTCTTCCAATCTTGCAGCTTCACCAGTTGCGCAAAGATCAGAACATTTGAGCTCTGCTGTTCTTTTGGTTACATGCTAGTGTTTGGCACTTGCCTGTCACAGTTCAGTCTGTGCTGGAATACAGCCATCCTGGAGCTTTCAGCTTTCTCTTAGCTGAACCGTTAAGGCTCAGAGGAAAGTGAAGAAACCCTTTTTTTGTGTCTGCTTCAAAAAGCACTCAGTTGTGTGGTGGCACCACGTGGGAGCCACCAGGTAGTGAAGGGTCTTCATCCTCTCAGTCTGCAGCCTTGTGACCCTCACTCTCCACCCCTAGAGTGACCGTGGGAGAGGCCAGGGTGGGGCAGGGGCTAGCGGGGGGCCTCTGAGGGGACCGCACCATTTCTCCTCTGGGCACTCCTGTTACGTTCCATGGTAGAATGAAATGTCCATGGACGGGGAGGGGAGGTTGGTGACCCCGAAAACATCGGGTCAAGGTTAGAATGTTCCGTCAGTGGACGTTCAACAAGCGCTTAGTAAGCCTCTTTGGCACGCACTGTGCCACAGGGTCAGAGACAAAACAGACCGTCGCTACCCTCAAGCTCGTGTTCTGTCAGCGTAGAACAGGGGAAAGAGAATGGCTCTGCGGCTGGCAGCTTTGGGGGCAAAGCCCGCTTTGATAACTGATTGCTTCATGACCTTGGTTGAATCACTTCATCTCCCTCAGCCTCAGTTTTCTCATTGGTAAAATGAGAGAGTTGGGCTAACTAGCTGTGAGGTCCCTTCTGGCTCTCGATGAAAGCCCTTATCTAAGAACTCTTGAAAAGTAACCTGCTCTTCTGCTCCGTTGGGGTCTAAGTGTACTTCTTTCCTTGATTAACATGTAACCACCTAGGAGAGACCCATTCCAAACTCCTATCTGCTCTGGAGAGCAAAACTCTCTCAGCTAGCAAGAGCCAGCCTTTTTATGACATTCAAGGAACAGAGTCAAAGTGGGAAGTAGAGTATTACAAGGAGAATGGTTCACATGTTACATTCAAAGGTGATGGAGCCATTGAAATATTCAGGGAAAGGTAAAATAATCAATGGGTGATCAGTTATCAGAATTACAAAATTGAGGGGCAGCTAGGTGGCACAGTGGATAGAACACCGGCCTTGGAGTCACGAGGACCTGCATTCAAATCCGGCCTCAGACACATAACGCTTACTAGCTGCGTGACTCTGGGCAAGTCACTTAACCCCAATTGCCTCACCCAAAAGAAAAAAAGGGAATTACAAAACTGAGGAGTCCTAAGCCTTTCATTGTTCTCCCAGGAGGCTGCAAGGTTTCACTTAGTTCCCTCAGTTCCTTAGTTGCTGATCAAACCATAGGCCTTTGCAGAAATGTCACGTTCTCTGGATTGTACAGTATCTGCAAGATGGATGCAAAGAAATAGAAGATAACGTTTGATGCTGCAGACACTAGCAGCTGAGGGAAATGAGGAGCAGCCTCCTGTAGACAAAGTGACGCTTGAGCCACACTCTGAAGGAAACAGGGAGCTTTGTAGAGGCAGAGGTGAGGAGGGCGAGATTCTGGGCTTGGCTTGTGTGGCTGGTGGGAGCAAAGTAAGTGGCATTCGAGGCCGCTTAGGTGTGATGGACTTTGGGCAAATGGCCCTGAAAGGAGAATTTCTGACTCGCCTTTTGATTCTCCTTTCTGCCGTTGCCATTGATTTGTGGAAAAGATGGAAAGATTAATGTGATTGCCTCCTGCCCCCTCTTTGATTTGCAGGAATTACCAGAGGCTCTTCCTTACTTAAAGATTTTTACCGTTGGACACCAGGTGCCTGACGATGACACCATTTTTAAATTCAAATGTGCCGTGAACAAATTCTTGAAAGAAAACCAAGATAATGGTGAGTTTGACTTTTTCCTGGACTGTTTAATTTTCCCAAGTTTGCTTTACATGTTAATAGGAAGATGCTGTAAATTAAATACTATCTGTGCCTATTGTTATTTAGACTTAGCATTAGAAGGATTGTGCTGAGTCACGTGAAAGTCAAAATACAAAGTGGGGCTAATGGAGATGAACTCTAAGAAATTGTGTGAGAAAACCTTAGGGTAGGGTAGGGATCCTTTCACTGTGCTGGGCTCTTTTTAACTTAAGAATAGAAAACTTAAAACAATTTCTTACATAAAAGTAGGCTTTTGTACAAAAGGAGGGTGCAATAAAGAAACCAGACATGGGAGAGATAGAACCTCACAAATCCAAAAGAAACTAAAAGGAAAACAGATTTTTACAGAATAATGTCCCCATCCTTTGGCCCTCTGAGGTAATACAGATAAACGCTTTAGGGCCTTCTTGTGTTTCCCCAACTATAGGTAAGAGTGGATATGCTATAAGTGTGCCTTCCCTCCGTGTGGGGTAACGTTAAGCCAGTGCCTCAGATCTACATTACTCACTGAATACGAAGTGCAGGGCCTCCTATAAATGATTTTTTTCGCCCTTATGTGAGGCAGTTGAGGTTAAGTGACTTGTCCAGAGTCACACAGCTAAGAAGTGTTATGTGTCTGATGGTGGATTTGAACTCAGGTCCTCCTGACTCCAGGGCTGGTGCTTTTATCCACTGCCCCACCTAGCTGCCCTGAAATGTTTTTTTTTTTAAGAGTAAAATATGACAAGGGTTAGGGTTAACAAGCACATACTCAGAACATACATATGCAAACTTCATTTTTTTATCAGCTGGATAAGTGGGGATGAAGGGGAGAGGCAAGGGAGAGCCAAAGGGATCATAGACTCTTAGAATAGGAAAGAGCTTGTAGAGCCTCCCTGTGAGCTTGGTAAGTGGAAAGAAAGGAATGGCTTGGCAGAGAAAGGACAGGGAGAGCTCCAAAAAGGCTCAGTGGATCCTGAATTCACTTCACCTGTAGCCGGCTATCTCGCTGCCCCCTTTGCACCTCTTGGCCCATTCTTGCTCCCTGTATTTTCAGGGGCTTTCTGCTTTAAGCCTGTTGGATGGGCAGATTAGGATTAGGTTTCATCAGTCGTGGCCATTACTACAGGTAACAAGACTGACTTTCCACAGATCCATAGTTTTGCTTGCATACCTTGTAAGCAACGTCTTTTGACCCAGCAATAGTGCTTCTTGGGCAAGTTGTACCCAATGATACACAAAGATTTCTCCTCAGAAGCAGTCTCTAGTCTATTTATTGGACATGTGCGATTAAAATAAGTGTTGATTACTTTGGGGATATCTCATTTCAAAGCCAGATATGCCAGACAACCTATATCAAAGGGAACATAGCTAGAATAAGGTCTCAACAAAAGAAAAAAAACACAGAGAAAAGAAAGGGATGGCTCTGTGTCTTTTCCAGTCCCCCTCTGGGGGTTTCAGCACACAGAAAAGTCAGGTCAGGCAAAAGGTCCAGAAAGGGATCCGCTTGCCTCTGCTCTCCATTGTTAGATTTGCTCCATCTCTTCCTCTAAAAGTGAGAGCTCCCCAGAGACTTTAGCTCTCAGGCCATCGTTCAGCTGAAATGACAGTCACCCCATTTGTCTTGTAATGGCACCTCAAGAGAACAGGTTTCCACTGCCTTTGGGGGGTTAGGGTGGGGATCGGCATGAGGTGCTTCTCAAGCCATTGGCCTCAGGAGATGAGCAAGGACAAAGGGGACTAGGAGAGAAGAATTCTTCTCTAACCTTTGGTTGTTGTGCCACTGCATTTCTGTGACAGCCTTTGATTTTCTTTCTTGTTTCCTACTGCTTTCTAGCCCTTCCTGGTGGAGGTGGGTCTTGCACTTCTTTCTTCTAAACCCAGTGGGCTTCACAACTAGGCTTATGCTCAGTCAGCGGAGGTACTGCTCCCGAATGCCCACATGCATCTTCATTCTGGCTTCAGTGTTTCTCCCATGGATTAATATAGAACCATAGTGTGCTGCACGTTAGGAAATAGTCTTTGATGGGTCCTTGGCACTGCCAGCCTCCTCTAGGCAGGACCATCAGTATTGTCCCTAGAAGCCTTAGTAATGAGCAGCTTTGCTTTTGAAAGCTTCCTCTGGGAACTTAGTGTCCCTTTAAACTCCTCTGTTTGTCTATTCTAAACCTGCCCTCTGAGGACCTCTTCCTTATGCTTTATTCCAGGGGCACCCAGTTAAGTCACTTCTCCCCCATTCTGAGCCACCTTCCTGTCATAGTTGGCCCTTGGATTGTGGAGGTTCCTTCCAGTGCCTTCCCTTTTCCTGGGCCTCATGTGCACTCATAGCCTTTGCAAGGTTGAACAGGATCACGTTGTAAATGAATTATGGATGGCATCGTGGAGAAGGAACAGGAGTAGACAGGGCTTAAAGCCAGGAAGTCCTGCCTCTAACTCCTCTTGGCTGTGGCCTCGGAAGTGCCTTCAGTACGAGGCTCAAGGTAGCTAAGACTTTGGTGCCAGAAAAGGTGTCTTGGAATTCCCTCTTCCAGGAGATCCCAGGCACAGTCCCTACTCGTTTCTCCATCAATGAGTTAGTCGCTCACTTTTCTTTAGTAGTAGATTGGAATGAAATGTGTGTTCACTTTCCTGTAACATTTGATTTCTAGTTTGTGTTAGAGGCCTCCTTCACATTCACTTTGTCTTCATCTATAATGGATTGATTATCTACCCCCCCAAAAAAAGGAATTCCTTTTTAAGCTCCTGAGAGTAACTAGTGAATGTTCTTCAGACATGTGGAGCAAACATACATATTCAGCACCTACTATAGTACTGTGTTCCAGACCCTGTCCTAGTGCTGAAAACACAAAAATGCCTGAGGCTGTGCCCTCAAGTAGCTTGCATTCTACTAGGGAGCTAAGACCTGAACAGAGATGCATAAATACAAAATATATACAAAGTACCCTGTAGAGGGAGAATTCACTAACAACTGGAAGAGATGGAGGAAGGCTTCATGGGGGGAGGTGGCATCAGAGCTGAGCCTTGGAGGAAGATAACTGTGCTGTTTGTCTTATTACTAGTGTTGAAGCATCATTCCCTTAATTGTAAATTTCCCATTTTATAGACAAACTTATTGGAGTCCACTGTACACATGGTTTAAACAGAACAGGATATCTTGTTTGCCGGTGAGTTCTTAAGTCCAGGGGCAGGCTGGGTGGGCTGTGTCATGAATGTAAGTCAGCTTTTTAACGCGAGCTTACAAACAACCCAGAATCAACTGTCTGTCATACTTATCCTCCCTTTTTTCCAGCCATCAGGTCTCTGACTTGAATTGTGTTTCTCTGTTCAGGTATTTGATTGATGTTGAAGGCATGAAACCAAATGATGCAATAGAACGTAAGTATGAAGATTTGCATTTCTTTGTCCTTTTTATTGGATTCCTTGTGTGACATGTTCAGAAGCCTGGGTGCATGAAAGAGAGAGCGCACTTCGGCTAAAGCCTAGAAAGCAGGCCATTCTGGAGTTAAGGGAAAAAATTGACAAAGAGAAATTGGAATTATTAGAGAATTAGCTGTGTGAAAAAGCCTTGGTTTATCCTCTGTTCACTTATGATTATTGGTATTTCTTCTACTCCTTAGTGTTCAATAGATGTCGAGGACATGCTATAGAAAGACAGAATTACATTGATGACCTCCAGCATGGACCAATCAGAAAGTGAGTCCTGTATCTCATTTGTGTCAAAGACTTGAGAGGGGTTTTTTTGTTTGTTTTTTAACCTGCTTAGAATTCTTAACAAAAACAGGAACAGCTATTTAATTAGTTTGGGTACCAGTAATATGAAATGTGAAATGTTTGTCTTTAAGGAATGATGGTACTTTAAGGTCAGACCGTTTTGAAGAATCATCATTTTTCAAGAGGAGAAACTTTTACAACACCCATGAAACTGATTATCACAGACCCAGACGGACCTTTCACTGGTCCCGAGACTTCCGATCCCAGCCCCAAGAAGACTTCCACTACCAGGCCCAGGAGTTCCATGCTCAACCCAGAGACTTTCGATCCCATCGGCGAGAATTCTACTCACAGCCCCGAGATTTCTACCAGTCATCCAGGTGTGTTCTTCCCTTTTTTTAGCATGAAGGTGAAACCCAGACTTCATAAATAAGCATAGTGCCAAAGGGCCAGCCTCCACACATTTTGTCCGAGCTTAGAATTCTCTTTGGATGTGATGACACAAACTGATCTCTGTTTCATCACAGTTCACTGTTGGTAAAGAAATCACGTCACTATTTAAAACGACGAAGTACTTGTCTATTTTTTGTGTAGTAGTTAAAATGGTGTTTTATTGTGGCCTACAAGTTTTTTGTTCCTGAATCATAAACATTTATTAAAGTAAATAATGTAATTAAAGCCAGCCTTTTAAAGAATGGAATGATAAGAGTAGTGTTGTCTGTGCAGTATTGCTGCATCTCAGTACTGAGCCCTACCAGACAGGAGAGTGACAAGCAGCTTACTTCGGAGTAGAGAGAGGCTTTGTCATCACGTTTGTTGACCACCAAGTTGTACAGTCAGTACAGGGTAAGAGGGGGGCGGGCACCAAGGAGAGCAAAGGATGCAGGGAGAGAGAGAGGGCCCAAGGGGCGGGGAGGCAGAGAATTCTAAATCAGTTTCTTTGAAGAGTGTGCCATCTTACCTCTTCTTTATTGCCTCTGATAAAGTTACAGGGTAAAAGTGAAGTCATTTATGTGGGAAAGAACAGTATTTTGAATGTGTATAGCTCCTCCTCAGGGGTTAAGTGTTTTACGTGTAATATATCACTTATATTGTGCCCTAAATAAATCGTGTTGCCCCTTTCTAGAGTAAAATGTTGAGATAAATGTTAAATGAACACACTTAGGACTTCTAATCTTAGGCCTAGAAGTTTTAAAATTCTGTAGCAGTGGTTTGGCAAAATTGGGTTTTATTACTGCTCTTTAAGTACACATTTGGTCTTTTGAGGCCATGAAAGTTTCTTCATGATTGTAGAAGACACTTGGCCCATTCATGGTCTTCGATGTTCACTGTAAGCAGAATTCATTCACTCAGCAACCATTCATCGTGTGCCAAGCACTGGGCCTGGTCCCTTCTCTTTCAAATGAACTTTTTGGTCTTGTAAGTTTTCTGTGCTGAATGCTGCTTTCCCTCAGGCCTTCATACTGATGTGTCACGTGACTTCCCAAGGACTTCAGTTGAGCTAGGAAAGCCATCCAAAGGAGGTTGGCACCAGCTACCTCTAATCACATTTTCTACCGGTCACCATTGAACTATATCACTTATGCATTTCTTCCTTCAGAACAGATTATGAATCAAAGTTTAAACTGAACTTTAGCTACTTTTGGTAAAGAGAGATGTGAATTGCTGAGGTTGCCCAAAGATAGCACTTCTCACCCACAATATTAATATGTACTCTGACAAAAAGCTTTGTTCTGTGAAGACCTTGGAGTGGCACCTCCCATCTTATTGCCCTTGTAAACAAATGAGCTTTCGCTACAATTTCAGGGTGGTTTCTCTAGCAGGTGAAGGGTTTAGAGCAATATGTTGTCCTCATTTAAATTTTCAACTTAAGGGCTGCAGCCTGACTTTTATAAATCCTTCCCCCTTTCCCCCACTTCCATGTGACATGGTGGAGACAGCTGAATGTTGTCTTTCTTGAGTTTCTTAATCGATAACCTTAGGAAGTCATATGACACATTCCTCTATTAAAGGACCTCTGCAAAGAAACCACCTACTGAATGGAAGGGAAGAAAGTGCCCAATCAAGAAAATCACTCCACTCCAACACTGATCAATTGGGCACCAGCCCCCTGTTTGTCTGGGACTTGACTAGGCACCTGGAAGAAATAATTTGTCTTAACTGGTGTTAACAATTCATGAGTCTCATTGCATCAGCTTCTGTGACATCTCTATTAATAGTTTGTCTTTGCCTCTTCTTTCTAGGAAAAACCAACACAGACGGAATTACTCTTGCCAAAATGTGGGAAGCCATCCCCCTTTGCCTCCTCCAGGCCCACCTAGAGAGGACTATTCTCAGAGCAGATATACTTGGAATCTAAAACCCAACTATAACCTCCCTCCTTGGAACAAAAGACAGAAACTTAACAGTTATAATGGACCATATTTTCCAGACCAATGGGGGACAGATAGACAGCCACAGATATGTAGAAATCAAACGGGGGAAAATAGTTGGCATGACATTTAGTCAGGTCAATCGAGGGAGGGTCGCCATCTTTTATTGCTTTCCCAGGCAGGCTTAGGGAGAAATTATATTTTTTACCACTTTGCTGATGGGGTTGAAGTATGTTTGACAGTGAATTTTTTTAAATCCCATGTTTTACCGGAAATTTTTCAAACAAGATGGCGTTTTAGATTTTGGCCAATGAGCAAAGAGCCTCCACTGCAGATAACCAAAAATTAACATGCATATCTAGATTTGCCAGTTAAACTTTTTTTTGTTTTATTATTTTGGTGACATTTTTAAGGGGTCTTTATTATGTTTACTTATTGGCCCATTGTCGCTAACACCATTTTTCTTATTTTGTCCAGAATTCAGATTACAACCTGCCTAAGAGACAGTCTCCTCAGAGTTAGGCCTGTGGGGGGTGTTCTGGCAGGGCCTCCAAACGTGGCTGCTCTGGGATGGTGATGCCCCGGTCGACAAGTCCAAGTCTATAAGTTTACCCAGAGATATTCAGGTTCTCTTGACTGGGTGTGTGCTAACAACACCTGTTAGTAAAAGAGCAAAATGAACCAAATTACTAGTTTATAGGAGAAAATAGACTTCCTAACATAACTGACACCTGCCATTGGCATGGGACAGCAGTGTGGTGCAGTGGATAGGCTGTGCTGGTCTTGATGTCAAGAAGACCTGAGTTCAAATGCAAGTGAAGCACTTCATAGTTGTGTGACCCTTGACAATCACCTAACTTCCCTGGGCTTCAGTTTCCTCATCTTTAAAATGAGGGTGTTGGAATCAGTGACTTCTACAGACCCTTCTAGCTCTGAACCTGTGGTCCTAGTGAGTCATCCCACACAATAACAAAATCACAAGTCATAAGGTTATTTTTCAGAGAAGAAAAAGAAATCCCAAGGGGAAATTGGATGTTGCCAAAAAAAATGGTCCTGTCAGATTTAGTCTAGCCTAGTGCACATCTGCACTCCAGGAATATCCCACCAGCTGGCAGCTTCTTTTCTTTTGGGCTCTCTCCTCTTTACATATTTTGAATCAGTCACTTAAAACTTAGGTGGTCACAGCACTGACAAGAGTAGAGCTAATCTTTTATTCGATTCATCTTAAATTGGTGGCTTCAGGATGAAATTTAAGGGTGGCTCTAAGCTCGTCAGGAGCTCATCTTCTGTTTCTGTCCTAAAGCAGATTGCTTCTGGGGAATCTCAGGCAGTGTGTTAACCCCATTCATCTAATGGGGCCCCTGTCCTGTATCCTCTCAGCTTCTAACATGATAGTGTGTGACGTTGGGCCTGTCATAGCACGCCAGGTGAAGAGATAGGTCGTTGGAGGCCGTTTGGGATTTTTACAGATGAAGCCAAGGCCCAGAGCTGAAGGGCCTTACCCCAGGACACACAGGGAGTAATCATCAAAGGTGGTTTGTGAACCCAGGTCCTCTGACCCTGGTGTCAGTGCCTGTTTATTCCGATGTGCCAAGCTGTCTCCCACTCAGGTAACTTCTAGACCCGTTTGCTCCTCTGTAAAATGGGGCTAATGATACCTGCCCCCTACCTCACAGGCCCAGATAGTGATCTTCTGTCTCAAGTGCTTTGTAAACCATGAAGAGCTGCATAGAATGTCAGCTGCTGGGATGTCCTGGCCAGCCTCTGGTGGCTCCTGAGTCATGCTGACCATGGATAGAGCTCACACTCCTGTGGTGCTTTAAGCTTTACAAAGCACTTCCCCCACAACTACCTGTTAAAGCACTGTTCTCACTTTACAGATGAGCAAACTGATAATGATGAAAAATTACCTTGGACCTTCCTCCCATCGCCTCAGCCAAGGAGGAGTTTATGTTGGACTGACGGAATCTTGCCATTGCCTCCAAAAGGAAAACTATCTTTCAATTCCTTGCTTCTTGGCCGGTTTATTTTCCTCTTTTCCTGGCCTACATCTGGAGGAGCTCAGATCTTTCAGCAGTCACTTCTGATAATGTAGATGGACGTGAGGATGAGTTCAGTCTTAACACTTGTGTTCAGGAAGTCACCTGCATAAGCTCAGGAGAGAAGGCAGAGCCACTGTGTTTGCACGTGTGAGATGTCAGCTCTTCACAAGCCAGCATCTAACCAGACCTCTGCCCAGTGCATGTAAGTCCCCCACCAAGCCAGCCACACAGCACCGAAGAACCCAGCTTGGGCGTACTTGGCTTGCTGTGCATCTTTTATAGTGGTGGCTGCAGAAAAGTGGCCTTACCAGGGAGTCCTGCTAGCCATGACCCTCCAGCTGTGCCAGAACTTAGCTGGGATTCCACAAGGTTCAGGACTGGAAGCAAATGGGAGAAATATGAAAAAGGCTGCAATTCTAATCCAGGTTCTTAAAGGAGCCCACCAGTGGCAGCCTCCTAGAAGAAGAGAAATTACTGCTGTCAAAAATGTGATCAGGAGACATAGAAGTGAAGGGACAAAGGGAATGTTTAGAAAACTGAAAATAATTGGTGCTTTCATTTGAGTTCTTAAAGACCCTGTAGAAGCCTTAAAATTAAAGAATCACATTGCCGAGCTTAACAGATTGGTCTCTTGGGTCTTCCCACCCCTATCCCTACCTCCTCCTCCCCCTTCCTCCTCTCTCTGTTCCTGTCTCTTTCTTCCCCCCCTTTTTCTTTTTCCTCTCTCTCTGCCTCCCTCCAGCTCTCTCCCTCTTCCTGCCCTTCTCTTTCCCTCTCATTGGTTTTTGTAAAGCTGAGCTGAAAAAATAACTGATCAGCTGTAGGATTGGGATTGGTGTATGTGTGGCCATGGGTGAGCAGAAATCATCCACACCTTTTTGTAATGATCTAGGGTTCTCTGAAGGCATGAGTAACCCTATTTTCTGAATGAGGAAAGAGGTTGAGTGTTTGGCCCAGAGCCCTACATTTAGCGTTAGTTCTGAATTAAGGCCAAATCTCCTGGCTCCCAAGTCCAGGACGCTCCACTACTCTCACTGTCCTTAGGAAGACATATCAAAGTCAAGGGCTCTTAAGTCTTCTAGTCCAGGCTACCTTGGAAAGGAAACATCCATCAGACCTTGGGCCATTTCCTAAATTTCCTCGTGTTTGAGATTTGGGGAGCACTTAGGGAAACCTCCTCCTGTATCCTGGGATGACAGCTGAGGAATTCCAGGTCCCCAATGAAGAGCTCAGCAAAGTGTCATGACCCTGTCCTTTAGCTAATGAGTTTGTCTCCAACTTCGCCTATACTGGTGCTTGCCAACTTTTTCAAGAATGAGTGCTTGCTTCTTTTTAATGTAAAAACCAAAAAACTTCGCAATAGCAATTGTACTATTAGTATCCTTTAAGAAAACATCATGACCTAAAGGTGCTATGAATTCACTGAGATTTTTAAATAAACTGGCATTTTATTAATCACAACAGCCTCTACACACATTTGAAAAATAGTGATTCAGCAAGCATTTATTAAGCGCCTACTATGTGCCGCCATACCTACACAAGGGATACAAAAAAGGCAAACAAAAACAGCCCCTGCCCTCCGGGAGCTCACAGTCTGATGGGAGACAAAGCATAAAAACAATTACGTACAAACGTGATTGAGAAAGATGAGCAGAATGCATCTTGACAGAGATTCAAAAAGGCTTTTTGTGGAAGGTGGGATTTTAGCTGGGAAACCAGGAGGCAAAGTGGACAGCCTGAAGATTTTGCACAGTCTGGAAGTGGCATGAAGAGGAATAGGTGTGAGCAGACGGGAAGTGTGAGAGGACACCATGTTCAGAAGGGCTTTAAAAGTAGCAGCTTTATGTTTGATCCTGAAGATGATGCAGAGCCTCAGCTGATTAAATTGGGGTGGAGAGAGGAGGAGACAGGTGACTGGCAGGCCTAGGTTGAAGTTCGCTGACATCTGAGTGGAGGATAGACTGCAACAGGATGAGACTTGAGGCGAGGGTCCCCACCAGCAGAGCTGGGCAGTGCCGAGAGGGAGGAAAGGGGCCTGTAGTAAGAGGTGTTATGCAGGTAGGAGTAGAAAGGATGTGGTGGCAGATGGGAGAGGGAGAGGAGAAGAGGGTAAGGGGTCAGGGACAGAGAGCTTGGGAGGCGAGTGGCGAGTAGCCTCCACAGTATTCAGGAAACAGAAGAGAAGGCTTGTGGGGAGGGGGGAGTTGAATTTAGTTTTGGGTGTGTTGAGTTTCAGACGTTTATAGGATTTCCTGTGCTGATGTCCAACAGGCTGTCGGAGACTTGAGTGTAGTTAAGAGAGTTTAGGGCTGGACGAGCAGATTTGAGAATCACCGCTGAACAGATAGTTCCGTGGGAGCTGATGAGTTCATCAAGCTCCGCAGCGTAGAGTCCCTGCCCCGACTGCTTAGTTTCTTCTCAAATTTCACTCCATGAACCTTTCAGGACAAAGACCATGGGGTCTGGAGCCAGACACGTGTCTCTACTGTCCCTCCTCTCTGGACCTTGTACTTTTTGTTAAAACGATGCCATTAGACTAAATTCAATTTGAACACCATTGGAGGCAGTGTGGCATAAGTGGGAAGAGTTCTGCCCAGGAGGCCAAAGATCTGGGTTCAGATCCTGCCTCTGTCACCCTTTCTGTGATCCATTTCCCCAAGTTTGCTCGTCTCTCTAACAAGGACTTTGGAGTGTGCTGCCCCAGAAATCACTCAGGTTCTCTATCTTCCTCTGATCTTGCATACATTTCCCCCTCCATTCATACATACATCAGAAATGAAATTGGAAACAAGTCTGTGCTCTGGATTAGATTAGGGTACTTGTTCTTGGAACAATTATTTATTAAGGCCGTAATGTGTGTCCAGCACCATGCTAAGCACTGAGGGTACAAAGAAAGGCAAAATCAAGCCCTGCCCTCAAGGAGCTCCCGTTCGAATGAAAGTGAGAGACCTGTAAGTAATTAGATACAAATTGAGGAGATGAAGGTAATGGCGGGGTGGCACTCCACTGGGACAACGTCTTGGAACCAAGTGTTTCTCTCCCCTCCTTGGTGTGCTGCTACTTTGTTTTTGCTTTAAACTTAATGATAAACGGCTTTTAATTTAAGTATCGGGCTTCAATACTTTGAGCCGTTTAAGATGCTGATCAATTGGACTTTGGTTTTTCCCTTGAAATCAGTTCAAAGAGACCAAGTTCAAACCCTGTGTTTATAGAGGAGGAAAGTGAGGCCCGAAGCTGTGAAATGACTTGGGAAAGGTCTCACCATGAGTTAGTGGTAGAGCCAGGATAAAAACCCAAATCTCCTGATTCTGGGGTGGGAAGGAACAGGGATTGATTAAGCACCTACTATGCGCCAGGACAGTGGAAAGTTCTTTTTTTTTTTCTTTACCTCTGTGCCGTTTCACCAGATGTTGTGGGTAGCTGAGAAAATTAAAGCAACCCCATTTTACCTGTACTTCTCCAACCTTGTCTCTGACTGTTTGTATTGCAACCCCCACCCTGTATTGGACCTTTCCGCTTAAACAGCAAGGGTAGTCCTATCTATTAGGGCAGGCTTACAAGAGATAGCTAACCTGAAGAAGACTTTTTCCTCTTACCAGCAAGAGGCCCCATCCAATCCTGAGGTACCCCATATCCAATTCAACCTCCTGCCTAAATTAAAACCTAT